AGGGGGCTGGGAGGCAATGGGAGGCACTGGGAGGGGACTGGGAGGGGACTGGGAGGCACTGAGAGGCACTGGGGGGAACTGGGAGGGGACTGGGAGGGAGTGGGAGGGACTGGGAGACCCTCCCCAGGGAGCATGGACCCATTGGGTGTGAGTGGGAGGGACTGGGAGGGGACTGGGGGGCACTGGGAGGCACTGGGAGGGACTGAGAGGTACAAGAAGGGCACTGGGATGAACTGAGAGGACACTGGGATGTACTGGTGGATACTGGGAGGGACTGGGAGGGCACTGGGAAGGCCTGAGAGGTGCAGGAAAGGCACTGGGATGAACTGGGAGGGCACTGGGATGTACTGGGAGTCCCTGGGAGGTGCAGGAAGGGCACTGGGATGAACTGGGAGGGACTGGAATGAAGTGGGGGATACTGGGATGTACTGGGAGGGCACTGGGATGAACTGGGAGGCACAGAGAAGGCACTGGGGGGATACTGGTCCATACTGGTCTGTACTGGGAGGGCACTGGGAGGTACAGGGAAGTACAGGGAGGTGCAGGGAGGGCACTGGGATGAACTGGGGGATACTGGGATGAACTGGGAGCGCACTAGGAGGCCGTGGGATGTTCAGGGAGAGCACTGTGGGGCTGATACTGGTCCATACTGGTCCGTACTGGTGCGTTACCTGCAGGTAGGCCTGTCTGCGCCGGGGGTCGGCCACCAGCCCCAGCACCAGCTCCCGGAAGTTCTCCTGGGCCTCCCCCACCAGGGCCAGCTCCCGGGGGGTCTGGGGGGGACGGGAGGAGGGGGTGAGGGGCCCAAAAACCCCCAAAAAACCCCAAAACCCCCCAAAATGCCCCCAAAACTCACGGCCGGGCCGTGGGCTCCTCCAGGAGCCGCCTCCCCCTCGGGGAAGAAGGAGTCGATGGCGTCGAAGATGCGGGCCTGGGGCTGGGCCTCCTGCAGGAGACGCACCACCACCTGCAGGGGAGGGGGGGAAGATGGCCGCTGGGAGCGAGGGATTGTGGGAAGGGGGTGCTGGGGGCAAGGGATTGTGGGAAGGGGGGGCTGGGAGCAAGGGATTGTGGGAAGGGGGTGCCGGGAGTGAGGGATTGTGGAAAGATGGCTGCCAAGATGGGATATCCAAAACAAGATGGCAGCCAGGGCTCAAAGGATGATGGGAAGATGGCCGCCAAGGTTGGAATCCCCCATCAAGATGGCCGCCAGGGGCAGGGGATTGTGGGAAGGGGGCTGCTGGGAGCAGGGGATGATGGGACGATGGCCACCAAGATGGGCTATCCCAACAAGATGGCTGCCAGGCCCCAAGGGATGATGGGAAGATGGCTGCCTGGGTGGACAAGCCCAATAAGATGGCTGCCAGCCCAATGGGATGATGGGAAGATGGCCACCAGGAGTGAGGGATGATGGTAAGATGGCCACCAAGATGGGTTATCCCAACAAAATGGCTGCCAGGGGCAAGGGATTATGGGAAGATGGCTGCCAAGATGGACTATCCCATCAAGATGGCTGCCAGGAGCAAGGGGTTGTGGGAAGATGGCCACCAAGATGGGTTATCCCAACAAGATGGCTGCCAGCCCCAGGGGATGATGGGAAGATGGCCGCCAGGATGCGCTATCCAAAACAAGATGGCTGCCAGGCCTCAAAGGATGATGGGAAGGGCGTGGTGGAGGCGGCCATATTGGGTGTGGTGAGGTGGGGGCGTGGCCTGTATTGGGTGTGGTGAGTGGGTGTGGCAGAGCGACCTGGCGGCCATCTTAGGACCCCGGCAGCCATCTTAGGAGTGTTAGGATTGGGTGTCAGCCATTTTGCGTGTGGTAGGTTGACCTGGCAGCCATCTTGGGCTGCTGGTGGCCATCTTAGGTGTGTTAGGGTTGGGTGGCGGCCATATTGGGTGTGGCCAATTGGATTGGTGGCCATCTTGGGTGTGGCAGAGCGACCCGGCAGCCATCTTGGGACTGTGGCAGCCATCTTAGGAGCATTAGGTTGGGTTGGTGGCCATCTTGGGTGTGTCAGGGTGACCCAGCAGCCATCTTGGGCAGGGCAGGATGACCTGGCAGCCATCTTAGGTCTCCGGCAGCCATCTTAGGAGTGTTAGGTTGGGTTGGTGGCCATTTTGGGTGGGGCAGGATGACCCGGCGGCCATCTTAGGCCCCCGGCAGCCATCTCAGGTGTGCCAGGTTGCGCTGGCGGCCATCTTGGGTGTGTCCGATGGTGTTGGCGGCCATGTTGGGTGTGGCAGAGTGACCCGGCAGCCATGTTGGGCAGGGCAGGATGACCCGGTGGCCATCTTAGGCCCCCGGCAGCCATCTTAAGTGTGTCAGGTCACGTTGGCGGCCATCTTGGCTGTGTCTGGTCGTGTCGGCATCCATGTTGGGGGGGGCAGGGGGATTCCCCGTTGTCCCATGGGGGGATGTGGGGTGTGGGG